GGGGGGTGATTTCTCGCTTTCTGTCTCTCTGTCTCTCTCTGTCTGTCTGGCAAGCGCACACGCCCTATCACAAAAACCTCTCAAAAAAAAAAGGGGGGGCCATCGTGTTCAGTGCCACCTGGTAGTTCTCCCGCACCCTCGCGAAGATCCCTACTTGCAGACTGACTGGCACCAAGGAGGAGCAGGAGTGCACGGACTTTGAACAGGATCAGGAGCACTCAGTCAATGGCAGCTCTGAGTCCGGGGAGAAGAACATCAGCTGGAGCAAGGGCAACCTGGACAAGGAGAAGCAGAAACAGGACTTTTTGGCTTCATCCACCTCATTCTGAATGAGGAGTCCATCATGAACAGAGGGCGGGCAGCTGCCTTGCTCCTCTGACAGAATGAAGGGCTGCTGTGAACAGTGACCCTAGGGGAAGGCACCTAATAAGTCCCTACCCTCATCCGTGCACCGCATTGAGAACAAGATGGCCATTGATGACAAGTACAGTCAGTAGGAGGAGTACCGTGGCTTCACCGAGGACTTAAAGGAGAAGGATGACTACAAGCCCAATGTTAAAATAGAGTACATGAATGAGAGAGGTTGGAAACTCACACCCAAGGAGCCTTTCTGGCAGCTGTCTCATCGTTTCCATAGAAAGCGCTCAGGCAAGATGAAAACAGAGCAGCGGGTGAAGAAGCTGGATGAGGAGGTGCTCCTAAAGAAGGTGAATTCCAATGACACACCACTGGGTACCGTGGCTTTGCTCCAGGAAAAGCAGAAGGCTCAGAAGACTCCATACATTGTGCTCAACGGCAGTGGCAAAAGCACAAACATCATTACCAAGTGAAGCCAGCCTTCTGGTCCTGTCTACAACTTTAATATTAAATAAAGATCCCTCCTTATTATTATTAAAGAACATGTCAGGATTATAGCCATTTGCAAAAGCTTTTAGAAGGGCAATAAACAAAGCAATTACTCATGGTCACCCCCGAATAATGTGGGGGTAAGAGGTGACAAGATAGAGGCATTTCTTTATCTGCTTTCAGCCAGAAGGGAAGGGGGACCTGGGAGTAGGTCTTGGTCTTCCTGGGACATATGAGAAAAATTACCTTCCCGAGCTGTCTCTCCCTGAAGTGGTGACACAAGATAGACAAAGGATGGGTGTCCCTTCCAAAGAGACAACCAAGTAGTCATCTGCCTGGCTATGTCCCTTGTGGGAATTTTAGGTGTCTCTTAGCATTGGTGACTCAGTATAAGCCCCTGACGCAGACCCAGTGCACAGGGAAGGACCAGGGCCCCAAGCACTGGGCATCACCTTGAGCCCTATGAGGTCACCACAGAAATGCTGGTGAGGACCAAAGACCGTGGGGCCACAGAAACTGACACCCACATTCACACAGTCAGTCCAGAGTTTATCACTATATCTTTCCCCCTTTGGGAGGGTCCCCAACTGGTAGCTCTGACAGGAGACCATGCAGTGGCCTGAACTGATGGCTCCAGCAGGAGATCACGCAGTGACCTGGTGGTTCTGACGGGAGACCACAGGAGGCGATTGGTCTCCTTTTCCGCCCAAATGGGGCAGGCCTGTCTGGGTCCCTGGGTCCTGGGACTATACCTTATCTGGAGGTTTCGGCCTGTGAGTTGGCTGATGTTTTCAGCCTGTGAGTTATTCCTTCTCTCTATTGAGTCCAGTCAGGGGTTGGTTTCCTACGAGACATCAAGGCCCCGGATGAAGGAGGACTCAGGAAAAGACCAGGTGGTGCCACCTCATTCAATTCTGGGGTCCCCTCATCTCCGCAGGTTCCTCCCATCAAACTAGTGGCTCAAGGGGCCAGCACAGTTGGCTTCCCAGTCAGAGAACCAGAAATGTTGCATAAACAGACCACTGAGAAACCAAGCACCACTCAGAGAGTAGAGAACTCAGGTTTATTACACCAGTGGACCCAGAGTAGCTGGTACTCCAAAGTCTGGGCCCTGACTTGGGCAAGTTCCAGGGGTTATACAGTCAGGGTTCACAGGCATTGCAAACAAAGGAAACAGAAAAGTTGCAAAACAGCTGTGTTACCTTCTCTACTTCCTGTAGAGACTGGCAATCTGTTGAAGCAGGCAATTTACAAAACTGGAATACCTGTCAGTTAGATAGTAAATGCTTTATGTTTGCAACCAGTTTTTAGAAGTAGAGTAATGTTTAGTTGGAAACAAAGAGGATCCATATTAATACGACGATAATATGTCTTGTTTGTATTTCCTTCTAGATATCAAGTGGTTAATTTATTACCTTATAAAATATTTGTCATTCTATTATAATTGTCAAGGAATTAAACTATTTGCTAAAACCATTGGCTAAGCTATTTCTCTGCTGTGAAATCTTTTATATGTGAAATGTAAATGTATTACTATATGTCAATAAGCACAAGGCCTTTTAGGGAGTCATAAGCAATGAAAGATAAAAGTTACTTAATTTTGCAGTGTTTCAGCTCTTTTAGAATTTGTCTAGCAGGTTTTCCAGTTTTTACTGGAAAGTACCCCCAATAAATAAATAAATAAATAAAAATTATTTAATTTGACAACAGATGTATTAATAAAATTCAAGTATGAGTTAATTATTCATCCCTGTTTCAGATATTATCCTGATAGTTTTTTTTTCTCAGAGTATACTGACTAGACTTTGAAGGAAAAGGAGCATAATATAATCTTTGAGTCCTAAGAAGAGCAATTTCAGTCAATAAATTTAATGTCTTAAATTGCTTTCATGAACTTCAATGGTACATAGAAAAAAGTTAATAAAGCCTCTCTTTCACATCTGGAACTTATAAATCAATCCTATTTAGTGACATTATTTCTCAATAGTCACTAATAAACTCATAGCAGCTGGTGGTTGGTATTCATTTCTTACTAATTAGAGAAGCAGATGCTACAAATTCATCATTCTGAATGAGAGCATGGTGTTTAATCTGTTTCCCTGATTCTTCTCACCTTATTCTCTATTATTTTACAGCTTGTCATACAAAGTATAGGGTGACAGAAGAACAAGAGATCAGAGATGGAGTGTCTGGATTGAGTCCAGCCTCTAACTAGCTGTGCTGTGTCAGGCATGTCACTTTAGTTCTCTCGGTCTCAGATTCTTCATCTGTAAACAGCCATTCCAGTTACCTCACAAGATAGTTATGATGATTAAATAAGGTAATACATGGGAAAAATGCCACACAAATACCTTTTAAAAATCTTTTAATTATTTGTGCCCCAAATCCCAACAGGGTGGAGAAATGGAAGAGAAGGGATTGCATGACATGACCATGCCCCAAGGGGTGGGGGGGAGCAATTCCTCTCTCCCCCTCTCCCTCTGTCTCTGTGTGGCAAGCATACACACACCCTCTGGCAAGGAAAGAAAGAAGGAAGAAGAAAGAGAAGAAAATGTAAAACATATTTGAAGGATGAGCTAAAAGTAGACAGTTCCTCCATGTACCCATCACCCAGCTTCAATAATCATCCATTCACAGCCAATGATGTTGTATCTATATCCCATCCTGTTTCTTCTCCCTCAAAAGTAATATTACAAAACAAATTCCAAATATCATATTTTAGGTCGTTGGGAAAGTCATGACATATTTTCCTGTGCAAAAATATGTTACGATTTTCTCAATGACCCAAGAGTTTCTGGACCAACAGATGGTGTGGAAGTTGAGGTGCTGGATCCCACATGATCAGCTGTGTGGTTTGAGTCTTGGACCCAGTGGCTTGAAGATCATGCTGGCCACATGTGCATGCATGCCCCAAATCTCGAGGAGGCTGGAGGAGAAGGGGTCGCTATGTGGCTGCCTCCCCTGGGAGGTGCTTTCTCACTTTCCCTTTCTCTCTGTCTCTGTCTCTCTCTGATGAGTGCACACACCATATAACAAAAAAATAGTAATAATAATAAAATACATAAACACTGTGAATAAACTTTAAAAAAAAAGACATAGGGATCAAAATGTCAAGCAGGCCGGCCATTGCAGCGTTAGATCAGGGGCTGGATGGTTTTTGAAAGTGGTATTACAGTGCCGTAGGACTCAATAAACTGGGGTAAATGTAAGATGATACAATATATGAGAATGAAGATGCAAAAGAAGCCATAGGAGACTTCCTGAGAACCTTTATAATGACAGGATATTTTGCATTAAGAGAGTCCTGGACCTGACCATGAGGAAGCAGATCGTGCCTAAAGAACAATGGAGAAAATACAGGATAATTTCTACTTTGAACTATATCTAAAACAGGTTATTTGGGAAAGAAAAGAGAAGAGTGGGCAAAGAAGTAATGTAGTTGAAATCATGAATATGGTTGTCCTTTAAGTCTTTTTATGAAGTTGATTGAACATGAAGCATATCATTTAAAAGTTATTTGGTCTTGCAGGTGTATTACTTTAAATAAATGTCTGTTGTGGTTGTCCTTTAAGTCTTTTTATGAAGTTGATCGAACATGAAGCATATCATTTAAAAATTATTTGGTCTTGCAGATGTATTACTGTAAATAAGTGTCTGTTGTTAAAAAAAAATCATATAGGTTCTGCCCTTAAATATTTTAGTATATTTTTCTAAAAGATGAAGTTTCTTCTTTAAAAGCATAACTGTAAAACTATTATCATGCTTTAAAAATTGAACAACTATCTAGTCCATGTCCATTCCCCTGGTGGTCTCATAATTTTTTTCTACTCTCATTTTGTTTGACTCAGGATTTAAATAAGGTCTACATGTAGCAATTGGCTGACTTAACCTTTAAGCTAATTTCATCTATAACTGCACTTTCCAGTATTATAGCCACATATGGCTATTTAAATTCAAACATAAATTAATTAAAATGAAATAAAATTGAATTTTTATTTCCTCAATTGTAATTGCAACGTGTCTAGTGTCAAAGATTCACATGGATAATTCAAATACAGGACATCCCTACGTCTGTGTAAAATACTATGGAATGGGGCTAATCTATCATTTTCTTCCTGCTCTATTCATTTTGATTTAATTGTTGAAGAAAACAAGACACTTGTCTTACAGAATTTTCCACATTCTGGATCTTTAATAAATTTAAAATTTTTTTGCGATAGGACATGTGCGTTCTGTGGAGATGGAGAGGGAGGGAAAATGAAAATCACCCCCCTTCAGGGAGTATGGCCATGAGTGGGCCAAGAATCCCTTCTCCATTCTTCCCTCAGGATTTTGAGCATGCATACACATGCACCTGGTGTGTTTTTCAAGCCATTGAGTTCCGGACTTGAACATGCAGTCGACAATGAGGGATCCAGACACTTTAACAACTACGCCACCTGACTGGCCCATACAAATTTTTAGATGATTCTGATGCATATGGGTTTGGAACTGGTGGCTTTCTGATAATTCAACTTGGTTGGACTGAATTACAGTCCCTAGAATTCCTTTTCTACTCTATTTCCTCTTAGGGTGAATGCCAACAGATCTTTCTCAAGAGTTGAAAGCTGAAAGAGGAGCAGCAAACTTTTTGTAGTGTACATATACTTTCTTCCAATGAGTAAATCTAGGTGCTATTGTGAAGGGATTTTGCTGTTGTATTGAATAGTTGAAGTCCCTAATTAGTTGACTTTGAGTTAATCAAAAGGAAGGTGATCTTTGGTGACCTTGAATTAATAGATTTGAAAGCACTTTGGACTTAGCCCATGCCCAGCTGACTTCACTAGTAAATTCTGCCAGACATTTAATGAAGAATGAATAACAGTTCTTATAAAATCTTTCAAGATATAGAAGAAAACACCCCCGAAATAATTTTATGAAACTTGATACAAATATCAAAGACAGCACAAGGAAAAAACCTAAAGACTGGGACTAGCAGATGACATAATGGTTACATCACTGGACTCCCAAGTAGTTGACCACAGTTCAAGGCCTGGACCTGGTGGTTTAAAACTTATGCCGAGTGCGTGTGCATGTGTGCCCAAACCCCAGAGAGGAGAATGGTGGAGAAGGGATTGTAGAAATCACCCCCTGGGGGGGGTGATTTCTCACTTTTTGTCTCTCTGGTAAGTGCATGAGCCCTATAGCCAAGAAAGAAAAGAAAAAAAAAAATGAGATTAATTATCTCTTTTAAATATAAATGCAAAAATGCTCAATAAAATGCTAGCAAACAGAATCCAGCAAAATGTAAAAAGGCCAGCAGGTGGCATGGTAGTTAAGGGCACTGGAATCCCACATGACTGACCACGGTTCGAGTCCTGGACCTAGCAGCTTGCTTTCTCTCTCTCTCTCTCTCTCTCTCTGTTCCTCTCTGGTCAAATTAAAAGAAAGAAAGAAAAACAAAATCTTAAAAAAAAAAAAAAGGATTAGGGACGAGCAGTTAGTGTAATGGCTATGTCGCTGGACTCCTATGTAGTCAACTGTGGTTCGAGTACTGGATGGACTGGTGGCTTAAAGTCACGCTGGGCGCATGTGCATGCATGCCCAAGATCCCGAGAGGAGAATGGAGGAAAAGAGATTGCAGCATGGCCACCCCCCTGGGGGGTGATTTCTTGCTTTCTGTCTCTCTGTCTCTCTTTCTGGCGAGCGCACAAACCCTATAGCAAAAACCTATCCCCCGGGACCAGCAGGTGGCATGGTGATTAAGGCGCTGGACACTCCCACATGGCCGACCAGGGTTCAAGTCCTGAATCTGGTGGCTTGCTTTCTCACTTCCTTTCTCTCTCACTCTCACCCTCTGTCTCTCTCTGGTCAAGTTAAAAAATAAATGAATGAATAAATTTAAAAAATAAAATAAATAGTTATTTAAAAAAAAACACAAACAAACCTCTCCCCCGAAAAATAAATAAATAAAGGATTATACACCATGACCAAGTAGTATTTATTCTAGGAATGCCACTGAAACCAATTAATGTGATAAACTACCCCAATAGAATGAGGGACAAAAACTACATAATAGGGCCAGTTGGTGGTGTGCCGGTTAAGGCAACTGACTCTCACAGGGTCATTGAGGAGTTCAAGTCCCAGCTCCCGTGGTTTGAAAAATTTATCGGGCACATGTGCATACCTGCCCAAAATTCTAAAAAAAGAAGTGAAAGAGAAGGGATTAGCATAATGGCTATGGTGCTGGACTCCCATGTAGTCACC